GGGACAACAGGCAGCCTATGTGCGGCATTTCCTGAGTCCTGCTGTGTTCATCTTGACCCTGATCAGAGTCAAAGTGACAAGAATAAGGCCATTAGGTGAGGCCAGTGTAGCCGCCCTCAACAGTGACAGTCCGAGGTACAGTCACCTTGCAGAGGTCGTGCACGATTTGCCCTGGTGCAGGGCACGGCCAGGCTCCACGGGGAGAAGAAATCACTCCTCTGTCCCCTGGCTCCAGACGCGGGTGACTCAAAGCGCCCGTGTGGTGTGCCTGGGTGTACGGCAGCCATCGACCCACATTCCTAACTCACGTGTGTCGGGGGAGCTACAGAGGGAGACTCGCGACACAGATGGCTCTTTTTAGGAGGTTTGTGCCTGAGTGGGAAGAGGGAATGTGCTTAGAAAGCTATTCTAGGTGTGGGGAAGGGGGATGTGGGGAGAGGTGAGGCCGGGGAGTCTGTGGAGGAACGTCTGGTTCATGGTCACAGCCAGAGCCTCGCTGCAGCTGGCCTGCCCCACAGCCCCCAGGAGCTACCCCACATGGTGCTGCTGTTGGGGCCACTGTTCCCCTAGGCCTTGCTCCATTCCTGCTGTGACAGGAGAGGTACTTCGTTTGTTTGTTACTGGGGATTGAACCCAGGGATGCTTAACCACTGAGCCACATCCCCAGCCCTTTTTAAAATGTCAGTTATTGATTGACTGATTGATTGTTGTAGATGGACACAATTTATTTTACTTATTTATTTTTATGTGGTGCTGAGGATCGAACTCAGGACCTCACCCATGCTAGTAAAGAGCTCTACCACTGAGCTACAATTCCAGACCTTTATTTTTCATTTTGAGACAGGGTCTTGCTAAGTTGCTTAGGGCATGGCTAAATTGTTGAGGCTGACTTTGAACTTGAGATCCTCCTGCCTCAGCCTCCCCAAGCTGCTGGGACAGAGATTTTATGAAAGGCCCCGGAATTTCAAAAGGAAAGGAACTTGAAAAGCTTTGAAAGCCGTAGCTTACTCACATTTGAACCTGGGGAGAAGCTGCTCCCAGGCTTCCCCAGGACCTAGACCCCAGCTTCTTCAATAGAGGCCCCCCGGGGACTTGTAGATCTCTCCCAGTCTCTGTTCTGACTTCAGGAGAAACTCCTGTGCCCAATACCTACATCCACCAAAGGACACGAAGAAGATTCCCAGCAGCTTTGTTTCCCACAGTGGAAAACTGGGCACAACTTCCATCGCCATCGACTGGCGAATGGATGAGCAAACTTAGAATCTTTTTACGATGGACTAATACTTAGTAACCAAAAATACCTATTGATACCTACTAGGAGGGAGAACACAAAGTAGACACTGTGGATTTACACACACACACACACACACACACACACACACACCTTCCGAAGCCTTCCAGGGAGTTCTGATGAGCTGCAGGGCTGACCCCTCCTTGCCCTGCTCTGCACCCAGGGCTCTGGTGCCCTGTCCCTGCCCTCAGCCCCCTCAGGAGACCTCATTGCGAAAGGGCAGCCGGGGGCAGTGGGAAGCCTGCAGGAAGCCAGGGGAAGGAAAACCTCAGGGGAGATGGTTTATTTCTGTTTTTGGTCCCAGAGATTGAACTCAGGGGCACTCAACCATGGGGCCACATCCCCAGCCCTATTTTGTGTTTTGTTTAGAGACAGGGGCTCACTGAGTTGCTGGCTTTGAACTCGAGATCCTCCTGCCTCAGCCTCCCAAGCTGCTGGGGTTACAGGTGTGCACCAGGCTTGGGTTTATTTGTTTTCTTTTGAACTCGCTGCAGGTGATTATACCTTTATCTCCTGGGTTAGATCTCATAGCAATAGAGTGGGGTGGGGTGGGAGAGGGTTGGTCTGTAAACCGCACTGCACTACTGCTTTATTGCCTTTGGGGGTTTTTGTTACCTGTTGAAGAAAATTTGACCACCTCCCTGAGGCCACGTGCCTGTGGGACACCAGTCCTAGCCACTATGGCCACCTGTCAGTCTGTAAAGGTAAAATTTCTAAGCTGATTCTAAGCTGCAAAAGTCTGAGTTAAAGTGTAAAAGATTGGGCATTGTAAAGTTTCTAAATGGCAAGGCCTGGGCTAGAAAGTAAAGACTAGGTATTGTTAAAATTCCTCTGCTACCCTGGAACCTGTAATCCCTGTAGCTGTTAGGACAACACCTGAACTGCCCAGTAAATATTTCTCCTGGTTCCCTGGTTGTTTAATAGCTAAGGGCTCCAAGTAGCTCAGCACGTAAGCATCTAGGCTCCAAAACCAATCAGTTTAAATGTGTACCCTGCTTAGGAGTGACCAATCACCCCTGCCCAGACTGTTCCCGCCAATGAATGTACTAATCTTGTCTCAGAGTTGTTGTTCAATTTTCCCGCGCCTCATGATGATTTGTTCTGATATATGCAAAGCCCCCCACCCTCTCCAAAAAATGTACTTAAGCTCTGCTTGACCTCTGCTCTGGGCTCTGGGCTGCTCTTCCTTCCTGAGTGAGCCTTGAGCCCCAGCGTGCTGGTTCAATAAACTCCCTCCTGCCAATTGCATGAAGCTAGTCTCTTGTGTGGTCTCTTTCTCTGACGCTCTGCCGGATCCTCACAAGTCAAGCTCTCTGTGGCCCCCAAGCCTTTCAAAGACATGTTTCCCCTTTCCAGTTCTCATCCAGAGCCTTATGCCTGTTCTGAGGCTCTCAGCTGAAACTTCACTCCTCACTTAAATCACTCTCTGCCACATACACTCTGACCATGTTCTCTATAGGTTTTTTTTTTTTTTTTTTTTTGGTACCGAGGATTGAACTCAGGGGCACTTAATCACTGAGCCACATCCTCGGCCCTTTTTAATATTTTATTTAGAGACATGGCCTCCCTGAGTTGCTTAGGGTCTCACTGTTGAGGCTGGCTTTGAAACCCCAAGCCTCCTTCCTCAGCCTCCTCCGCTACTGGGATTACAGGCGTGCGCCACGGCTCTGGCTTCTCCATAGTCCTTGACATACAACAGCCCCACCACATGGGCCAGTGCCAAAGCCTCAGAGCCTAACTGCTGAATGCAAGTCAGCAAACTCCATGCCGCGAGCACTACCATCTGCGGAGGCTTCTGAAATGGGGGGTTCTATTATTCACTCCCTTCATTACCACCTTCCATTCCCTCTGCTCTCCAGGAGGCTGCTGTTTATCCCTGAAACGTTTAAGCGCAGCAGGCCACTGTACTAAAGGCTAGAGAGGCCACCAAGTGAGAGGGCACAGTCCCTGCCCTCAAGGTAGTGCACCCAGGGATGGATATGCCCCCAGGAGCAGCACCAGAGAGGGGGAGGTGGAAGTTCTCTGAGTTCTTCCTCCTTCTCTCCCCTCCCCACATCCTCTCCAGGGGATGTCAGATCCTCAGAGCATCTGGGATGATGTCCTTCCCTAGCCTAACTCAGCTCTCTCCCACAGGACACAGGCTTAGCTCTATCTGAAATCACCCTGAGAACCTGAAAAATCTGTGACGAAAGACTAGGGTTGTAGCTGGGTAACAGCGTCTGCTTAGCATGCACTAGGCCCTGGGTTCAATCCCCAGACACAGATACAAATGTGACATGAGGTTAACAGCTTTATTGTGTTCAGAATGAGTCATACCAATAAAAGAGGAATCAACACTGAAAAGTAGGTAATAAAAATGAAAAGACAATTTATAAAAGATGGAACAAATATTCTAAAAAGAAAAAAATGTTTAACCACATTAGTAATAAAATATATATATATACATTTAAAAAGCAGGAAAATTAGCATTTCATTTTTTAGAATGGCCAAAAAGCATAAGAATGATATCCTTCAATATCAGCAGGGATAATGAGAGTGAGCTTTTTTTTTTTTTTTGATGCTGAGGATTGAACCAAAGGCCTTGTGCATGCAAGGCAAGCACTCCACCAACTGAGCTATATCCCCAGCCCCCTAATGAGAGTGAGCTTTAATAACTGCTGGCATGAGTGTAACTGATAATGCTCTCTGTAACTCAACACCGTGCCTGTAAGAAGCCTGAGATGCATGCTTTCTCACTCAGTAGTTATACATTCAGGATTAAGCTAAAGAAAAATACTGGCAAGGGTGCAAATATGTGTGTAGCATTGCTTATGATTGCGATTTTTAAACAAATAGTTATAAAGCGTTTATTCAACAGTGGATTACTATTCAGTCATCAAAATTGTAATTTTTAATATGAAAAGATTCATGACATTCTTTTAAGGAAAAAACAGCTTGCAAAACATCATACATTACGTACAAAAATCCTATTTTTGTTAACTTTTTTTTTTTTTTTTTGTACTAGGGATTGAGCTCAGGAACACTTACAACAAAACGACGTTTCTAGTCCTTTTTATTTTGAGTCAGGGTCTCCCTGATTTGCTTAGGGCCTCTTTAAGTTGCTGAGGCTGGCCTTGAATTTAGCAGTCCTCCGGCCTCAGCCTCCCGAATCACTGATATTACAGGCGTGAGCCACTACGCTGGGCTTGTTAAAAGTTTTAAAAATAATAATACATTTGTGTGGGTGCATGTGAGTTCGGGAGAACATATACTCAAAACAATGATTATCTTTTGTTGGGGAACTATTTTTATTTGTGTATTTTTTTTTATTTACCTGTACGTTTTCTCTCTTCCTACTCAAACAGCATATACCACTTGCATAAGTTAAATTACCGATGGGAAAGACACGTGTTTCTAAAGACACGGTCTAAATACAAGCGACCATTTATTTATCTGTTCATAAAGCACGCAGGCTCCCGAGCTCCCGCCCGGCGGCGGTTTCCTGGCTCCTGAATCCGAGAAGCCGACACTGGTCGCCAGAGCCTCCCACTCTTCAGGCACCGCCGAGGACACCCCAGGCCGCGCGCGGGTCCTGGCTGTGGGCGGGGCCGCGCAGCCCGGAAGAGACGCTGCGCCGCGCATGCCCCTTCCTTTCCAGCCTCGGCCTCGGACCCTGAAGCCTCCGAGGTGAGTTCCTCTGGCGTTCGGGTTCCATCTGCCACCATCGGGCCGTCCTGTCGTCATAGGGGCCGTGTCTCCCTAGGGCTTGGACCGAGGACCTCTCTGCCCCTCTTGGCACTCCCATTTCTAAGCGGCGAGAAGGGTTGGGGGGTGTTGTTAGGGAGTTAGAGGGGTGCTGGTAGGCGAAGTTCGGCGTCCGGATGGCGGAAGACGGAGGAGGGGAGTTTGAAGCCCTAGTGTGGCGGGGACCAGCCAGGCGAGGCTAGGGAGGCCGTACCCCATCTGCACGCGTTTCCTTCGCGGGAGGACCTCTCGCCTGGCCCTGGAGCTCTAGTTTGGGGTAGGGAATTTTAGGGGATGATGGTTGCGGGAACCTTAGTCCTTCTGTTGGGGGTCAGTGATCTGTGAGGCAGCGGTGGGGGGGCTTTTCCACTTCCGGGTCCTGCTGTGCGCCTTAAAGTGCAGATGGGAGAATCCCCACTGGGTAGGTCTTGATGACCCCCCAGTACCGCTAGAGTACCATGTCTGCGTACTCCCCACTCCCTGTACCGTTGTGGTCGTCAGAGCTTGTGAAGTTGGATCAGATACGTGTCCATGTCCCTGATTTAACTTCCTGGCCAGTATTCCATCTGAAACATTAGGTGGTGGGGGAGAGGGCTGGTCTCCAGTGAGTTTATTCTGCTGTTTTTTTCAGCATGTCTTCTATGGTGTGTTTTGAATTTTCCATCCACTGGCAGTGATTTTGTGGTTACTTAGGGTCATCAACTTGGTTACTGGGATCCTAGCTACATTGCTCAGAAACGTTCCTCATGATCACTTTCTTGCAGATGTTGATGCCCAAGAAGAATCGGATTGCCATTTATGAACTCCTTTTTAAGGAGGGAGTAATGGTAGCCAAGAAAGATGTCCACATGCCCAAGCACCCAGAGCTGGCAGATAAGAATGTACCCAACCTTCATGTCATGAAGGCCATGCAGGTATGGACTGAGATGGAAATGGGGAGATTTCCCACTAATGTTCAAGGTAGATTCCAACAAGAGATCAGGGTAGCTGCTTGCTTCCTTGAAGGACACTGATGTAGATATATGCTGTGAAAACTTGTCTCTTTATCCCCTTTGAAGTGCAGAGTTTCCAGCTTCTAATTATGTTCTTTGTTTTGTTTTGAGATGGGATCTCTCACTATTGCACAGTCTGGCCTTAAACTCTTATTTGGAGGGGATTTCTAAACGGTAGTTTTCTGCCTTAGTCTCTCAAGTCTCGAGGCTACGTGAAGGAACAGTTTGCTTGGAGACATTTCTACTGGTACCTTACCAACGAAGGCATTCAGTATCTCCGTGATTACCTCCATCTGCCACCTGAGATTGTGCCTGCCACTCTACGCCGTAGCCGACCAGAAACTGGCCGACCTCGGCCCAAAGGTAGGTGCCTAATTAATGCCACCAAGGTCCTGCTCTGAAGCTGCTCTTTCCTGAGGGAAACAGTGCATGTGAAATGGTATGATCTTTTGTGTCAGGGACAGAAGTGTTATTAAAACTTATCATTGGTGTTAGCTTTAGAGGGGACGGTGGCAAGGGCCTTTGGTCAAGTTCTGGAACCTTTGAACTGAACCCAGGTCTTTGTCCGTCCATGAAATTGCATTAAACATGAGTAGAATTTTGGTCTTCTCGAGTGACTGCAAATATTCAGATACATGGCAGGTCATTCAGTGATTATTTTCTAGCAGAATGAGATTGTGCTCAAGAAGTCCAGAGCAAAGCTCTTTACCAACATGTAAAAGAAATGAATGGTTTCTTGGCAAGGGGAGCAAAAATTTTAAAAATGGGGGAGAATGGATATATATATAATTTGGGTGTGAAATAGGCTCCCTTATGAATAAAGTTATCTTCTGACTCCTGAGATCCTTACTGGCTCACAGTTAGCATTTTTGTCAGGGTTCTGTTATCTGTTTTTAATGTTATTAATTAGGGATTGAACCCAGGGGTACTTTGCCACTGAGTGTGTGGACAGCCCCCGCTCTTTTCCTTGGGGGCAGGATACCAGGGATTGAACCCAGGAGTGGCTTAACCACTGAGCCACATCCTCTGCCTTTTTAATATTTTGTTTAGAGACAGTCTTGCTAAATTGCTGAGGCTGTTTTTGACCTTGCAATTCTTCTGCCTCAGCCTCCCTGGTCACTGGGCTTATAGGATTGCTCCACTAGCCCAGCCTTGTGAATACTTAGAGCAAAGGTTCTCTACCTAAGAATGAAAATGCTGTGTCCTTCTGTAATCCACAAATTCTGATTTAGTCAGTCTATGTGGACCTGACGTCTTCTTTTGCCATTCACTTAAGAGTCAAGTTTGTTTTTTTCTACTTCAAAAACAGTTTGTTTTTTAGTTATACGGATTCCATTGGCTAGAGAGAATGCTGAATTAAATTTAATATTTCACATGTTTGGGAGAATTTTTAAACGTAGACTTTACCTTAAACTTCTGACTGGGAATGTGGCTAAGGGGTCGTCTAGTGGCACAGGATCCTGTGTTCCACCCCAAGCATAACATGCAAAAAACTGTGCCTTAGCCCATGAAGTCACAAGTTTTCAATTCTGCCAATATAATTATGTTCTTGTTATTATTATAGCATAATGATATATCATAGATTTCTATAGGTGTTCCACATCTGGGACAATGGGGGAAATAATGGGTTAATATATATACCGCTTATGAGGAACTAAAGGATTCTTGGTGACATCTACATTATATAATTACTTTTCCAGTCATATACTAAATTTCTCACTTGGAAAGATGGGGAGAATTCAAAATTTGGATATTTGTAGCAACATTTCTAAATTTGCCACGTGATTGGAAAATGCCTTTATGTGGAGAGACTCAGTAGAAGAAAACCAGTTTTCTTGTAGTTCACCAGAGATGCAAGAGCCATGCCTGTTTTCCTGACCTTCAAGAAATAGTTCCCATGCTGCTGTGTGTTCATGGTGTGGTTTAATTTATAGGTCTGGAGGGTGAGCGGCCTGCAAGACTCACAAGAGGAGAAGCTGACAGAGATACCTACAGGCGGAGTGCTGTGCCCCGTGAGTAATGGCATCTTCTGTATCTGGGCTGTTGGGGAACTCAAGAACCTATTAGGAACACTTCTTAAGGGATTTTAATGGGTTCTTCAGCCCTTACAGGTGCAAGAGAGATGCTTGATTTCAGTCTCCAGAACAGCAAGAGTCCTTTGGAAATCAAGCCCTCTCAGTTGGGGATACTAAAAACCTGTAACTGGAAAAAACGACTCTCAGGAAAGCCACATGCTTTCCTTTTTCCTATTTGCTTTGTTTTGTAAGCTCCTTGAGGGCAGTGCTCACTCAACTGTTTTTGCAAAAATAATGTGAAATTAGCAAGTGCTTACATTAACCCAGAATGACAAATTCACTGAGTTGAGTGCCTTTTGCATGCCAAGCACTATTGTAGGGACATATCTGTATAATAGACAAAAGGCTCAATTCTCATTGAGCTTTCAGTGCTAGGGAAGATGGGTTTGTGTTAGGTGGTCTGGGTGCTGTGTGAGAAAATTAAAGCAGAAGTGGGTGGGTGTTGGTGATATTCAGTTGGGTTTTCAGAGTCTTTGCAGAAGTACGCAGATATCTGAAGGACAGGACAGAAGGGGAGTCAACCAAGGGAGCGTCCCAAGCAGAGTCCCTCAGAGGGCACCTAGCTTGTCAAAGGAGGGAAGATAAAGATGTCATATGGGAAGAACTTATAGTCATTCACTCTGTTGTAAAAGGCGTGATATAAAAGCAAGTTCCAAAAAGAAGTTTTTACTTCTACCACTCTTACCTGCCACCTTGTCATCTTTTCTGGTTCTTCGAATGTGAAGAAAAGAGCACTTGGCCTGAGCACCTTACAGGGGAGAGGGTGAATTCTTCCAGCTCTTGGTTCAGAGAAAGTCATGCCACATGGGGAACTTGGGAACTGTTCTTCAGAGAATGAGACAGTTGAACTTGAGCCACAGGGTCCTCCCTTGAGAGTGAGCATAGCTTGGCGAGTGCAGAGGTGGGGAGAACATGGTGGCTAGTTTGGTGAGAGGGCTGGAAGTGATCAGTCAGGACCCTGAGGTGGAAATGGGCTGAAGGGAAACTGCTTTTAGTGGTATTCATTGAAACCACGTTATTGGCCCTGGCTCCCAGCCCCCCTTATTCTCCATGTGACTTATATATGAAACACACATTTCCTAGCCATACAATTTAAAAACAGGTGGAAATGGGTTATGTGTTATTTTAACATGAAACCCTTATAAACATTGATATTTTATATTGTTTTGTTCCCAAGTCTTTGAAATCTTTCGTGTGTTTCGTGCACATCTTGACATAAACTCCTGGCTGCCTGTAGGATAGCCAGCACTAGATCTTTGATCTTGTCTCTCCCATTTTGCAGCTCTGGGCCCTTAATTGTCCTTAAAGTTTTCCCTTATTGAGCTCCCTCTACAAGCTTAGTGCAGGATGGGAAGTGAGGATCCTTTGTGGCTACAGTGGCCTTCCTAGAGAGGTGGAAGCTTTGAGCTGAGTTTTGAAGGGTGGTATAGTGAAAGCTGACTGTGCCCCAGGAGAGGGAAGGTAACAGTAACTTCAAATTGATGTTTCTCTTTCCAGCTGGTGCTGACAAGAAAGCCGAGGCTGGGGCTGGGTCAGCAACCGAATTTCAGTTTGTAAGTATTCCCCCATTTGCTACTATAAATAGTCACTGTACTAACCTCAGGCTTGTGGCTTTACAAGTTCTGGGGATATGGTTTGGGTGGGGAGTCTGTTGCCTGTTTTTTCCCAAATTTCAGATAAGTTTTACATTGAGGAGGACCCAGTATGCAAACTTTAGTAAATATATGTTGCTGATGTGAGTCTCAAAAATCATTATGTGTGGCATGCTGGTGTTCTGTTTTATTAATGATGGTCATAACTCCCTGAATTTTTAGAAAGTGAAATTTGAAATTGAACAAAACACTAGAGATTGAGTGGACTCCAGAATAAAGTTGATCTGAAATCTAATCGTGTAATCTAGGGCAGGTTCTTTCCTTTTTTTAAAATTTCTTGTTTTAGTTGTCGATGGGCCTTCGTTTATTTATATGTGGTGCTGAGAATCGACCCAGTGCCTCAGACGCTAGGCAAGCCCTCTTCCACAACCCCAGCCTTTGGGCAGGTTCTTTTCTGCTTCACTTTCTCATGTATGAAACAGGGATGCTAATAGAGCAATAAAGGTACTGTGAGGTTAGTTGATCCACTTGAAATGCTTAGCAGGTCCTCCTGTGGCAGGTCTTCTTGTGGATATGAATGAATATACTGGTTGGGTGGCCACATGCCCATTCTACCAGTGAGGAAGTAGGCTTAGATATTGAATGGCCCCATAGCAATAAGGGGCAGGGCTGGGGTTTATGGCCTGTACTCTCTTGGCTGTTGGCTTCGTATCTCTCTCCAGTGATAATGAAGCCAGAAAGCATGAAAGGTACAACCCTGCATGCTACTAATGCTGACTTCATGTTATTTCTCTTGCAGAGAGGCGGATTTGGTCGTGGACGTGGTCAGCCACCTCAGTGAAGTTGGACCGGATTATTTTGTTTTGAATAAACCTGTAGCCAGAAAAAAACTTGTGTGTCCATTTTTTTGTGTGTGTTATATAGCTTAAACAGAAATGGCTTAAGGATCTGAATGTAAGTGGGGCAAGATTGGATTGGTTTGGGAAGTTGTCCTGTCTGGCATGACATCATTGTTGCTGATAGGGCTGTTGTGCTTGGCTTTGCCTTGTGCCCTCTGCTCTATCCAGCACCCTCCTGCAGAGTTGTGTTCTATGGAACCCATGCCTCCCTCACAGCCGTGCTGTCTCAGTGCTACATGTGGGAAAATTGCTCTTTGTTGGCCTGGAATTGAGATTTTGTTCTGAGTATCTTGAGAGGTTCTGGAAAGGATTAAAAGAAACAAATACTGTTCTTGGAATTCTGCACAAACAATTTAAAGGGACCGTGTGCAAGGAATAGTGTTTAGGCAAACAGTTTTACTAATACCAATCTTAAGCCTCGGGATTTATAGAATTAAAGTGCATAAAAATGGCTTGAGGGCTGGGGCTATGTATGGCTCAGTGGAAGAGTGCTTGCCTGGCACATGTGAGGCACTGGGTTCGATCCTCAGCACCTCATCCACCTACAACTATGTGTGTAAACTGGCTTGGGCTGTAGCTCAGTGGTAGAGTGCTTGCCTTGCATGCACAAGGTCTTTGGTTCAATCCCCAGCACCACACACACCCACACATAAACTAATAGGCAATTGGAGCCCGTAATTCCAGGTCTTCCCTTTGAAAGAGGAGAAATATTCTAGTTTCTGAGGCTTTCATAAGTGGTGACCCAGTGTAGCACTTCAGGAAATTGATAAGGGCTGTATGTCCAGTTTCCTGGGGGTAATGCCGACCATCATAGTGGTGTTTCGGCGACTTTGATGGGAAGTGAAGTAGACTGAAAGGGTTTTTACAGTGCTTGGCACAGTGCCTGAAGGACCTTCCAATGGCCTAATGAGACCTTAGGAACACCCTTGCGGACTTAGCTGGGTCAGACACCAATGTTGACTTGCAGATCAATTACCATCCATGGTTGTAAATTTTTTTTTTTTTTTTTTTTAAAGAGAGGAGAGAGAATTTTTTTTTTTTAACATTTATTTTTTAGTTCTCTGCGGACACAACATCTTTGTATGTGGTGCTGAGGATCGAACCCGGGCCGCACGCTTGCCAGGGGAGTGCGCTACCGCTTGAGCCACATCCCAGCCCCCAGGGTTGTAAATTTGCTACTGGGATTTGGGGTGGTAGGGTTGTTGGGATTTGAGATGGTAAGCTCAGCTAGGACAAACATACCAAGTTTCAGCCAATGAAAATAGAAATACCTCTTTGGACTCTGGGGACTTGGGAATAATTTGTGAAGTACTATGAGCCAAGCTTTGTATGGAGATGGACAGTTTGTAAAAACCAAAAATGGTGGTATTTTGCTGTACCTGACCTTGGGTCTTGGTAGGCAGTTGTACTTTAGACCACTAGGTGGCAGCTGATGGCAACTCCAAATAAAGCACTTCGCAGTCCTGGGAGGTGAGCTTTGGAATCTGAACCACCAATAAATAGAAGCTTGCTTTGGCAGGAAGAGGCAGTGTTTGGGGAAGCTTGTTTCAGCACGGCCTTGGCTGCCCTGCCAAAGATTGCTTTTTATCCAATTTTTCTGCTGGCTCGAGGATGTCAAGTGGTTTGCCCGTGTTCACACGCCTTGTGATTGTTTAACCTGGATTCCACTGTGAAATGTTAGTAGCTCCCGGCCTTTCTGTTTCCCACTGAGATCAGTAAGTGGATGGACTTCTACAGCCTTGGTGATTTTCTGGCCCTAAAATGTCACTGTTTTTCAAGGGCTCTTTGCCAACCTCTTCCCTTATGATTTAAATTAGTTCCAGAATATATTCTAGATCACCCCTGACTCTGGATAAACCCCAAAGAATCTATAAAGTAGTCCAAGCAAGTGGATAAGCATGCTGTTGGAGGAGAGTCTTGCATCCTCCAGCCCCCTCCATTGATAAGTTGAAATTCCCCTGTCAGTCATTCCTTAGCTGCTCAGGGATCTAAGAAAAAAGCTCAAAATTTGCCCTCAAGCACCTTATATATTGGTTATATATTGAATATAATACCAAATACTACCTAAGTGGTAAATCATGACCAAACAATTTTTTTTCTTTTTTTTTTCTTTTTTTTTTGTACTAGAGATTGAACCCAGGGGTGCTTAACCACTGGGCCACATCCCTAGCCCCTTATTTTAAAAGTTTGAGACAGGGTCTCATTAAGTTGCTGAAGCTGGCCTTGAAATTTGAATCCTCCTGCCTCAGCCTACTGAGTCACTCTGATTACAGGTGTGTGTCACCACATCCATCTCCAAAATGAGTTATAAGGAAATGTAGTGCAGGGGAAAGAATTTAAAGGGAAGCAGCCCAATGGGGTTTTGTGGGACAAAGGAGACATGAGACCAGATGGGGCATCTTGAAGAGTTTTTATTGTAAGTGCCCCCTCACTTGGGGAGAGTGGGTTAGGAAAGACAATGAGAGGCACAGCCACCACTAAGGGAAAGCTTTGGGCGTCTTCCAGGGTTGCTTTCTAGGTCCATCATAGCTTGCTTCTACCCTCCAACCCCTGCCTTACCAGCTCATTCCTACCACACAATCGTCACCAAAAAACATCCAAAGAATTTTTAAAGGGATTTTGGAAGCTGATAGATGAAAGTTCCCCCCTCCACCCTAATTTAACATAAACTTCCTGATATGGTCACAAATCTCCTTTCCCCGAAATCTATAATTTCCTTATAACTAGTGCCAATAGCAACTTCAATTCTCTCTGACGTAGAAGGCAGCCACTCTGCCTCTGTTAGATGCTAGGAGACAAAGAGGTGAATATAGAATCAGTTTAAAGGATTTCCCAAGAGCCAGGTACAGAGGTGCATGCCTGGAAATTCTAGTGCCTCAGGAGGTGGAGGCAGAAGGATCAAAAGTTTGAGGCCAGTCTAGGTAATTTAACAAGACTCTGTCTCAAAAAAGGGTGCTGGGTGTGGTGTCACATGCCTGTAATCCCAGCAGCTCCAGAGCCTGAGGCAGGAGGATTGCTGGTTCAAAGCCAGTCTCAGCAATTTAGCAAGGCTGTAAGCAATCTAGTGAGACTGTCTCAAAAAATAAAAAGGGTTGGGGAGTGGTTCAGTGGTTAAGTGCCCTTGGGTTTAATCCCTGGTACAAAAAAAAAAAAAAAAAGGCAGGGAGTGGGGAGTGCTAGGTATGTAACTTCAGTGGTAGAGCACCCCCAGGTTCAATCGAGTATGGCAAACAAACAAGGATTTTCCAAGAAACTCATTTTTGAGAAGGTTACGTCCTCTGGCCCTGAAGATAAGAGGTCCTGCTGAGAATATTAGCTGCCTAGTTCTTGGCAAAGGTCCTCAACAGAGTGGAGGAATTCAGTGCAGATTGTTTTTTTGCATTTTCTAATTTTATTCAAATGGAATTATATAATATGCACTCCTTTTAGTTTGGCTTCTTTTACTTAGCAGCACTGTGAGTTTCACAATGTTGTAACAGATATTTGTAGTAGCTTTTTATAGCTGAGTATTTTACCTGTTGATAGGCACTTGGGTTATTTCTACTTTTTGGCTGTGGTGATTAACGTTGCTGTGAACATTTGTGTGCGGTTTCGGGTGAACCTGTGTTTGCAGTTCTCCTAGGTATATACATAGGAGTGGAGTGGCTAGGTCCTGTGGTCCTGGGTAACATTTTGAGGAACAGCTAAACCATTTCCCAGAGTGGCTGTACTACTTTACATTCCCTTTTGCAGGTTATGAGTTTTTTTGTTTTGTTTTGTTTTCTTAAAGAGTGAGAGAGAGGGACAGAGAGAGAGAATTTTAATGTTTATTTTTTTTAGTATTTGGCGGACACAACATCTTTTCTGTATGTGGTGCTGAGGATCGAACCCAGGCCGCACGCATGCCAGGCGAGCGCGCTACCGCTTGAGCCACTTCCCCAGCCCAGGTTATGAGTTTTAATTGCTTCTCATCCTTCCCAAGTCTTGGTTTGGCCAGTCTTAATCTCAGCCATTGTGAAGAGTTTGGATTTTTTCCTACAGATGACAATTCACAGAATGAAGACAGGGGTAGACGTGGTGGAGAAAGGGAGACTTTGGTCTAAGGGTACAAATTTAGGAGAAGTTCTTATATCATATTGTACAGCATAATGACTATAGTTAACATATTAATATATTATGTTAAGATAATATATAATCATATATTATACATTATATCATATTATATGTCATACATAATATATTTCAAAGTAGCTATAGAGGATTTTAGGTGTTCTCACCACAAAAAAAGGATAAGTATTCGAGGTGGTAGATAGGCCAACTGGCCTGATTTTTCTCATTTCAAAATGTTATATGTGCAGGGCATGTGGCACATGCCTATAATCCCAGCGGCTTGGGAGGCTAAGACAGGAGGATTGTAAATTCAAGGCCAGCCTCAGCAATGGCGAGGCAAATACTTAAATCCTTACTGCAGAAAAAAATCCACATTCTTTACAGTGGCTGAGATTAAGTGACTGGCCAGACCAAGGTGCGGTGAAGGTGAGGATCTAGCTGACTGAGTTTGGGTCTGCATGGTGACCACACAGGGGCACTGAGTGGTCATGGGTGAAGCGCTCTGTCACTGGGGACTACAATACACAGCCTGCGGGAAAGGGAGAGGAAATCCATCATTGGACTGCTCAGTTCTAGAAAGGAAACTGGGACAGAATGAGGGCATTGGTGTTGCGGGGGAGAGGGATGAAAGGGATTGTTTAAAAAGTTACAGCCATAGAAAGCCTGGAGCCCATTTCTATTTAAAAGTGCTTTATTAAATAGAAACCCGTGATAAATGCATGGCACGGATCCAAAAGAACAGCCACTTGAAAAATAAGCCCTGCATGGTTTACTGACATATCAAAGAGGCCATTGTAAGAAAAGGGCATCTTTAAAAATAAATAAATATTAAGTGAGAGAGGATACTCCAGCTGAGGGACTAAGGAAGCCTCAAAATGGGGCAAAATTTATGGAAGCAGTGA